CGCCCCGCCCGCTACGCCCCGTGTGGGAGGGAGAGAGGACAGCCACCCCGGCCGACGCCTAACAGTCCGGCCCGGCCGGCCGGGGCTTTTAACGCGCGCGTCAGTCATCCATTCATTAGGAGCACCGCCCCGTCCCGGCCGGGGCCCTCGTCACGATGCTCTACAAATAAGAAAAAGTGTGACATCTTCATATGCATTACACACTCCAAAATTATGCGTCTCACGTCCGTGTCGCACATCAAACTCAAGTGTGAGTGTTAGTTTCCATTCGAGTACTTATAGGTGTACAGTTGTGCAAAATTTCGATGAACATTCACACCGTTATGCCTTAACCATCCCAATATGCTAATGGAGAGGCACACACTTGGGTAAAATTGTTTACAGTTACAACTTTGCCAACATTTTTTTATGCGTCATTGTGACTATTGCGTGTTTTGGGCGCTCGTGCTCTTGTTATTGGCGATTGCCTCACATTTTATTTTGCACCCATTTTGTACTATATTGTGGTTGCTGGTTGTGGTTTGTGGTTTAGTGTTAACGCCGCGATGCCGCGACCTGAGCGCCTGTGTGTGTTTGTGTTGCAGGGCCGGTCCACGTACACGCACCGCGTCGTGGTGGAGACGTCCGACCCGGAGCGGCCGAAGGAGATCCTCACCGTCAAGTGCGTGCGCGGCCCCGCCGCCAACCACACCGTCTACAAGCGCAACGTCCTGCCGCTGCCCGCCGGCTTCCAAGAGCCCGAGTAAGTCAAGTGCCCTCTATACCCGTTTCTTTTATTCCCCTCACTCAATATTTTGACCTTATTCCTTCGAAGTCTTTGCCGCCGTTATTGCTGGCGCCGATTCAGATTCTACCATGTATACTACTCTACTAAGTTGGCGAAAGAAGATCACTTTGGTTGGGCGGGGCGGAGCGCTGTGGGGCTGGGCGGGGCGCGCCCGCCCTTTCCTAAAGGTCAGGTCGCGAGTGCGGCTATTGCTCTGATCTGGTGGAGCAGCGGGCGCAGCCTGGCGCAGCGGCACGGAGGAGCAGTACCGGCCGGGGCCGGGGCCGGGCCGCGCAGAGCAAATAAAAGATCTGTTCTGTTCACATCAATTCCGTTACGGGGAGGGACGGGTTGAGGGGG